GAGGGGCGGGTTGAGGGAGGGCATTGGTGTCAAAGGCGATCCAAGGGCTGGGAGGAAAAGACACCCAGAGCCTGGAGGGCCTGGAACCGCCCAGCTTGGATGCAGGGTCGGGCCTTGGGCAGGAAAAGAAACGCCCAGGACCCTGGACAGAGGCCCTGGGGGTCCCAGGATCTTCTCCAGGTGCATGAGTCACTGGGACCTGGGGCTTCCCTGGAGAGGAAGCCTGAGCGCCACCTGCCTCCAGCTGCTGCGACCAGCGCATGCGCCCCACAGGGGAGGGCGCCCTCCCCACCCACTGCCAGGTCAGAACAAGGTCATTCAGGTGGGAAAGTGCCCACTTCCACGCACTCGCGCTTTCACCCTGTGGTTGTGGGCATTCCCCCCGCCCCCCACCCCCCTCCACTGCAGGCCAACCACCCTCAGCAGCACTTTGTCCTGAAAGGATGTGGAGTCCCTGGACCAGGGGCCCATTTGGTCTCCATTCCCAGACACAGCACTGAGCTGTGAGCAGGTGTAGGAAGAGCTCAGGAGATCTATCTCAGTGCTGTGGCAGACGCAATGGCGTGAGCACACTCCGCCTGTACAAGCTTCCTCGGCACACCGGGAAGTGGCAGTGCCCGCCTGAGCAGACCCCCTAGAGCCCCTACATAGTACCCTGATCTTTCCTACTATTGGTTGCCCTATGGATGTTGTAAACTTCTGATTGGTCTGGAATGTTATATATGTTGCTGCACTCACACAATAAACTTGGATCTGCGTCACTGAACCGGTCTCCGGAGTCGGGCATGCTTCGTTAGGACTCCGTCGGCCTCACCCCTGCGGGAGCCCCTGCTTCAAGCAGGACTTCATCTGGGAGGAGCATCCCGGAGACACACGGAGCCTCTACCCACGTGGGGCCTCCCTACACCTGCACCTGTAATTCATTCACCCCAGCGTCTCACCTCTGGCTTCCTGCTAAACGACACACAGGTGCGCATACAGGGCCCAGGCATCCAGGCAGAGATGGGAGCCCCGCCCTGTAGAGAATCCCTACTTCTGCTGGGTTGACTCTGAAGTCAACCGGGAACAATGGACCAAAGAACGCTGAGCGGAGGCCAGGTTGAAGGAAAGTCCCATCGTGTTGTGCTTTGATGGAGAGTCTGTCTGAACACCTCTCAGGATGAGGGACACTTGGTGAGGGGGCCCTGCACCCATGTCCCCTGAATCCTCATGGCACTCAGCCCTGAGTGACCACAGTTCCTCACCGGTTCTGTCAGAGGTGGAAGCTGAAGGCCAGGACTTTCCCCAATTTACAGTCACCACCCTCCCTGGGTTCCCAGACCCAGACCCCAGCCAGGCCATGGGCCACCAAGCCGGGAACGTCCCTGTCCCCATCCACCTGGCTGTGCTGAGGATGAGGAGCTCCTGATCTGGCTGTACTGGCTGGGCCCGAGGTGCTCACACACACACACACAGGCTGAAGTGAGCGTGGTCTAATGCTGTGTGACCAAGCAAAGGTTTCTAAACACTAACATGATAATAAACACCAGAACCACAGGATTGATTCTAATTCTAGGGTGAACATGTATAGAAGGTAAAGGGCCTCATGATATGTACAGTGTGGGGAGGATCAGGTTCAGTGGTGGAGGGAGGGATCAGGTGAGGGGTCCAAGGGAAGGGACAGGGTGGGACTCAGACAATGTCTCAGGCAGAGGGTCAGAGGCAGTGATGGATGACAGCTGAGAGGCCAAGGCAGGGCGAGGTCAGACACAGAAGAGCCAGCAGCCAGCCAGGGTAAACCAAATGAGGAGGGGTAGGTGGTTGGACCTGGTGAGATGCTGGGAGGCTGCTGGCCTATGTGCTCTGTCCTCTTCTCCCTCAAGCAGGCCCACTTGGTGCACTGAAGAGCCAAGCTGTGAAACACTACATCTGCAATATCTTAATCCTACTCAGTGAAGCTCTTCACCTAATTGGATTAATCATGTTGAGTTCTTTTGGACCAAACCTTTTGTCTTTAGAGTTACTCATTGTTTGTGATTGCATGTTTCTTCCTTCAACTGTGTTCTCCTGGGCAGAGAGGAGGGGGAGGTGGCAGCAGGGGGAGGGAAGCCTCCCACGGTAGCCTCAACCTGTGCTTTTGTGCATTATTCTGAGAATAAATTTGTTTTTCAACAATAAAAAAACAAACAAACAAACAAACAAAAACAAAACAAACCAGAGTCTGGTCACTGCATCCAGGTGTATATATTGTTCTTGTTTTAATAACAAATTTTATCCTCCCTGGTCTAAAATGGTGACAATTCATTACCAAACATGCCCCAGGCTTCTGCCCACATAAATTGGAAAAATCTTGCAATTGTTTGAATAATAGAAAAATCTTTGAGGAAAATCCTTTTGGTTCTTGAAATAGTCCTTGGATTACAATTTTTTAAGTGCCCCCTGGCCGAGTGGCTCAGTTGGTTGGAACATCATCCTGTGCACCAAGAAGTTTCGGGTTCAGCTCCTAGTCATGGCACCTATGGGAGGCAACCAATTGATGCTTTTGATGTTTCTCTCTCTCTCTCTCTCTCTCTCTCTCTCTCTCTCTCTCTCTCCTCTCCCTCCCTCCCTCCCTCTCTCCCTTCCTCTCTCCCTAAAAATCAATGAAAATATATTCTCTGGTGAGAATTAAAAAACTTTTTTTAAGTGCTGGCCTTGTCATTTTTTTTTCATTTTCCCCAGTGCATCTTACACAAAACCAGGCACAGTGTCAATATATACTAAACATCCTTAGCATAAAGGAAGAATTAAGACTTCCCCTGATTTTCCTCCAAGTCCAAAGTTTCTTCCCCAAACCACCAATTATAGCTCTATGTGTGCAGGCAGATGCCTAAAGCCTTAGCTTAGCTATCTGAAATTGGGGAAGGATTTTGCTTCAGAGTTTCTAACATATCCTAAGCACTACATCATAAGAATATGGTTCCAATGTCTTCTTAGATATTTCATGACCCTGTCTCTCACTCCTTATATCAGAGAATGTTTATCCTCTTTGATACCCTGATCTCTCCCACAATATTCTCACACCCTTCTTGGTGATAACCACATACTCTTTTTTTCCCTCCTCTCTCTTTTCCCCCTCAGAAACAAGAAGCAAATCTTGTTATGTTTTCAGGAGTTTTAATGACCAAGTGTGGGGAAAGGGTGAGAACCCATGTGAGCTCTGGGAACCACAGAGTCACTTAGGTGGAGGGATCTCCGTGACAACGGGGAGTCTGGTCACATCCTTCTCTAAGTGACAGTCACTGAGGTCAGGGAGACATCTCTCCACACCCGGACCATCTTCACAGATCCTGGGTCAAGTCGGTGGGGAAAAGTGTAATGTTGGCAGCCATTTACTGTTACCTGGAAGAGAATGTGTGTCAGCAATATAGCATGCCACCAAACAAACTTGCTGTCTTCCTTTCCTTTCCTACCCTATACACACACCATCCACAAGAAACACCTAGTCACACTCTAAAACCCAACAGACATGCTTATTTCTATAGCCTACGTTTTGTGACGATTTCAGACAGTTATTCACCCTATTTTCTGTGTTTCTATCATTCTTCCACAAAGGTGTTAGCATTCTATGTTGCACTGTCTATGTTTGCCTGGGCTTCCCTCGGGACAGGAACTGTTTCATGAATTGGGAGTCTGGGTCTTGCAGACCAATTATTCTAGGCTAATTGGTCATATAGTGTTTATTGAGTGCATTCATTTTAGCTCTGCTAAACTTTACTGCCATTTACTCCTGATGGGTGGAGAGAGAGAGAGAGAGAGAGAGAGAGAGAGAGAGAGAGAGAGAGATGTGAGACTAAATTGGTTGCCTTATCTTGCACCCCAATGGGGCCAGGGATTGAACCTGCAACCCAAATACATGTGCTTGACTGAGAATTGAATCTGATACCCTCCAGTGTGCAGGCTAACACTCTAACTACTGAGGCAAAACTTGAATATTCCTAAAGAGGAGGAATAGTACATATGATTAAAATGAGAATATTTTTATTCAGCTTATAAGCAAATGGAACAATGCCTCACTTCAATCATAAGACATTAAATCTTTTTTCTTCTCCAATGATAGAAGGTTTAGACATACACTCTGTGGATGTGGCTATGGAGAAAAAGTGGACTTTTTAGGTCTTAACTTTTCAAATTTAAAATGCACACACTTTTTGAACCAGTTATAAAATTCCTCTGAAATTATCCTTCCTTATAAGAATAGGGAAGTTGATAATGACAAAAATTTGATATAGAATGAAGCACAATTCATTAGAGCAAAATATGGAAACCACCTAAATGTGCATGAATAAGGGTCAAGTTAAATTATTCTGTAAATGCTTCTATTGAAATATTATGCAAAAATTAGTTAATATTGGATCATCACAAATAGAATGATGTTAGTTTCTCTAACAGACATTCTTTGACAACAAATAAAATCTAGTCATCAATGTGTGATTTCTAGAAAAACTTAAAACATCATTTGTTTAAAAATAAAAGCAGATAGAGATAAATAATAGATAGATAGATACATAGATAGACTTGAACAAGCACATAGTATCACTGGAAGGAGCATAAAGGAATTAGTAAGTGTTGCTCTGGAGATTGGGACTGGGTTTGGGAATGTAGGAAAGACTTAATTTTAGACTGATTATAATTATTTATATGCATATTTTAACAATCACCTACATGAAAACTGAAGGAATGACAGCATAGGTAGAAATGAGGCTGTGAGTGAAGACAGGAACTTCTCCACCCTGGAGAATAAGGCATGTGGGCTGATCTTGACCTGCTTAGATTTGGAAAAGGACCTGAGCATGGCAGTGCAAGCAGAGGGTGCTCTGTGATGAGAGGGGCAGGAGATGAACCACAAGTGACTCTGGGGGCCAGGCCAGGGAGAGCTGTGTGCTCCTGTGAGAGCCCTGAGAGCCCATGTACGGGATGCTCCTGGGCACACTCACCTGGTACTCCTTGGACAGCACCAAGATGCCCAGTTCAAAGTGTTGGCCATTCTCAAAGGGCATAACAGAGGATTGCACTTCTTGACCCCACTTCCCACCCTGACGGATGTTCATCACCACACGCTTGCCAAAGTAGACGCGGAAATGGAAGGCGACATCTGAGTCCTCTTGAGTTCCAGTGTGGAAATCCACCTGCAGTTCTGGGCACATGCTGAAGGCAAACCATACAGCATGTTGAGTAGGACCCTTCCTCATGGGGGCCCACATTCAACACACAATCATACACACCCTCCCAACTCCTCCTGGGGGAAGGAAGGCCTTCCTGGGTGACACTGCAGTATGTGTCCCTGAGGGGCTGCTTCAGCTTGTCCGGCCCAGGCTGGGGAGGTGCCTCATCTCTTAGCCCAGGACTCACACTGAGCAGCAGTCACTGGCCTGGGGCTAATTTTCATGCCCTGGAAATACTGGGTTTCTTGATAATAAATCTCAGTCCAATGCCTGAGTGACCCCAGCCCCCAGACTTCACCACTTGCCCACAGTCATGCACCTGTAGGTTTAATGCCTGGCACCATATGGGTCTCCAGGAACTGCAGCTGCATTGTGCTACCATTATGCTAATTACTTTAACCTCAGTCATGAATGAAGTGATCCCCAAACCTCTAATACTCTCATTTCTCCTCCCCATGGGCTATAAATACTCACCTGAATGACTTGGAAGGTGTCCCTTGGATTTTCACTGAAGTACCAACAGGCAAGAATACAGTTTTTTTATATGGGACCTGCCATGGGAGATGAGAGTGGTTGAGAGGGGCAAGGCCAGGTGTGCTCTCCCATCCTGTAACAGTTCCCAGTGGCAAAGCAGGTTATACATCAAAGGACATACTCTGAGGACCCTCTTCTTCCCACCTCACCACAGGCAGGTCCCTGTATCTTTGAAGAAATGAGAAGGTTGAAGTTAACAGGAAGAGTGCAAAGCCAGGTGGCCTGGATTCTAATGCTGATTCTGCCTCTTATGACCAATGAGAACTGAGTTCCATTACTTGAATGCTCCCTGCCTCCATTTTCTCAGTACAAGAGGATTATAAAATTCATATTTCATAGAATGTTCTCAGGAATATCTGAACGAATAGATGTAAAACCTTCAGCATGGTCACTGGCAGGTGTAGGGTCTATACAGGGGTGACTTAGCGGAAGGGGAGGGCCTTTCTGGGATACCACCCTCCCATCGGTTTTTATCTGAAACTGTGAAGATAAGGCTTTAGAATGTAAAAGTATAACATTTAAAAATCCACTGCAATATAAGATAGTTGTTTAAAGGGAGAGGGAAATAATGGCAAAGGAGAATCCTGTGTGTGGCATGTATATGCATCAGAATTTCCAAGGGGCAATGGTGTCCTTTCAGGAATGTGTACAAGTTGCTGAGGACAGTCAGTACCTGCACACAAGGTGGGAGTCAGGAAAGGAATTAGATAGAATCTACTGGTTGTTCCCTGATATCGTCTGTAAGCTTTGTCTGGACTGAGGCTGGTTTTGTTCCTTCCATCTTCAGGTGATTCATTCTCTGAAAGCAATTCTCCAGACCACCTTCCCCAGAGAGCCAGGATTTGCTTACCGTTTTTTGATAGGACAAAGGGAAGGACTGGCTGGGGGAGAGACCTGAGGCAGGAGCAGGTGTCACTGTGTGCTGATTCAGACAGGAGCTCCTGTGCCCCACAGTCTGAGTTCACCTTCCCCCAGGCTTCTTGACAAGAGGTATCTGAGGACCGGCTCATTCTGCTCTCATTAACGCTCAGAGAGGAGTCCTGAGGAACCCACTCTCCCCAAGACCACCAGCTCTGCCCACCAGGAGCCACAGTGATACACATGGAAAGAACCACAGCTACTTAAACAGTCACTACCATGTACGGGAGAACCCTCAGAAGCAGACACAGCTACACACATATTTATAGTTCAACATGCAGTCACAGGTCATCATTCACACACAGCTACACAAAGACACTACTACTCATGATGACATGCACAGCTGTTCAACCACTGCCTCAGCTGCACTCACACACACATACTCAGAGGCATGAAGACAAATGTGCAGTCTCACCCCTTGCACCCATGCACACACTCCCTCACCCCAGTCAGCTGTCATTTCCCACACAAAGTCAGTGTCTCAATAGAGTTCACCCTCAGTCAGATACCACCAAATGCTGACAGTAGCTACACTGGCCCATCCTCTCTCTTCCATATGTTCACAACCCCCAGTAAAACATTCCCAATGTTTTTATCTCAGAAAATCTCAGACTCTTTCCTCCTTCCCTTACTGGACCTGGGATCATTGAAGGCTATGCCTTTTCATCTCACCGGTATCGTTGCCATTGTTGTGCCTTCTGCTGGGAAGCTCTTCCAAATCGTGTCTGGTTGTGTGTGTGATCTCTGCAAGTGGAGGTTATAAATGATTTCTGGAAGCCCCGCCCTCTGGCTTCCTTTCAGTTTCTAAGTCTCTTCTAGAAAGATTGCCAGCAGGTGAGAAGGTGTCGGGTATCATAAATACAATCAACCACAACTATGTCCTTGAAAAGGATGTATTGTGATGCAATAGAAACTCAGTGAGGAAGTTGTGGGTCAGGAAGGATTAACAGGAAAAATTCATGAATAAGGGTGATGGAATGATGGGTGAGTGGGTCTATAATCCAGCCCACGTGCCTCTCACCAATTATTTACCTCTCAGAGCAGAACCCACCCAAAAGGTATACATTTTTCTGACTTGAACAATGGCAAAGTATTGGTGATGCTGGAGATAAGGACTCCCTTCCAGAGGTCCTGAGAAATCATAGAAATTGATCCTCAGCAGCCCTGGAGATAGAGAGAAAGTCTTTGTGCCATTTCCTTTCCACAGTAGGTCCCTTGGCTCTGCTAATGCCAACAGTGTTTTAGCCTTTGTGTTTCACCCTCTTGGTCAACTTGCAACATACATCAATCAAGATTGGACATTTAAGACGAAAAATTATTTATAATAATAACACTTGACTAAAAATGTTTTAATCATGATGACCTATTCAATAAATTATAACATACCCAATTAATGACACATTTTAGAGTCATTTAAAAAAGTTAAATAAAACAGTAAAACACAAGTTAAATCAGAATGTTTTTCAACATTAATATTTCCAAGTGGAATGTAATGAACAAAATAAATTGATGAACAAAATAGAAACAGAGGCATGGATACATGGAACAGACTAACACTTGCCAGAAGGAGTAGATGAAAGAAGGTGAAGGGATTGGCCAAAGAACTTAGATGCATAACCCATAGACACAGACAACAGTGTGGTGATGGTGAGAGGTAACAGAGGCCAGGGGCTGGGTTCAGGTATGTAAAGGGGGTGGGGGGTATGGGGACATCTGTGTCAACAGATGTCAACAATAAAAGTAAAGTTAAAAAAATTTTAATTAAAAGATTCCCAATTGGGCCTCTCTTGCCACAGGGAACTCATGGAATACTGCCACCATGGGAGCAAGCCCAAGTGTGCCTGCTGGAGAGGCCAGGTGGAGAACTAAGGCTTTTTGGTCAACTGTCAGACATGTGAGTGAGGCCATCAGGGACTGTCCAACCCTAAAGAAGTCACCAGCTTACTGTACCCACATGAGAGAGCAGACAAAACCTACAGAAGAACTGTTCAGCTGATCCCAGCCCAAATTGTCAACCCACAAAATTATAATCTCACAGACTCATTACTGTTTCTAGCAACTAGACAACAGCAATAGGTAAGTTAAGTAATTCTGATATATTTACAGATAAATTTACTGATGTTTAGGGATTTGCTTCAAAAGAAGCCAGGGGTGCTCTAGCCCAGTGGCTCAGTTGGTCAAAGCATTGTCCTGTACACTGAAAAATAAAGTTGCAGGTTGGTTTGATTCCCAGTCTGAATATATACCTGGGTTTTGGATTTGATCACCAGTCTGGGCGCATATAGGAAGCAACCCATCTCTCTCTCTCTCTCTCTCTCTCTCTCTCTCTCTCTCTCTCTCTCTCTCTCGTCTTTCCCCTCTCTCTAAAGAATCAATACACATATCCTTGGGTGAGGATTTTAAAAAAAAAAGAAGCCAGGGGTGAGGTGAGTACAGGTATGGGTAAACAAGATGTGTTGGGGTTCTTGTCCCAGCATCTAGAGGGGTTCGGGAATCTGGAGAAGGCTATGCATAGATTAATAAAGAGTCCAGAGACAAAACATAATTTTGAAAGGCATGTGGGGGTCAGAGGAGCTTAGCTAAAAGAGCTAAGTTCTAAGTTCTAAGGTCTTAACATCTAAGGTCAAAGGTCTTCTCATCCCAGGACCCCATGTTTTTTATTAACACAATTTGTCCTGAGGGGAGGCAAAGATATACACTTCAAAGGGTATGCACAAGCATTGTCAGAATGGGGGAATTAGCCTACCGCTGTTCAGGTGTTGGGCCAGTAGGAGGCAATAACAAGTAGATTAAGATGTCCTTTAACTGTCTGGCAGCCAACCAATTATCCCTTTTCAAGTTTGGGGAAATGCCATCAGCCACTCCCAGATTCAGCCCTGCTGTCATGCTGGAATTGGTCTCTGGCAAAGAAGGGTTACATGAAGATAGCTGTTAAAGCTGATGAATACATGAGGGCTTACTGTACTATTGTCTACATTTGGTTATGTTTGAAATACAAATTTCCCATAATAAATAATTAAAGGAAAAGAAGGGAAGGAAAGGAGATAAGGAAAAAGGAAGGAAAGAAGGAAAATTACTCTTCAATAAAGAAAGACAGTGAGTTCTGCAATGAGGCGCAGCCAAATCATAGACAAATTCATTACTGAACAGACTCCTGACTCCTGGGCCAGGCCCTTCCCATCCCCCAACATGGTCAGAAGCAGGAAAGTCCCACAGGAGAAGCAGTCCAGGTAGGAATATTTTCTTTTATTACTTGAGAAAATCCTCCTGGCAGGTAGGTCTAAGTCATTAGTAATGGAGAGACCTTTGATGAAAAATTATCTTTATTTGTTGGGATGTGTTGTTGATCTAAGTTGGGGGAAGAAACATTTGTCAGAATGAGACAGAATAGTAAGAAGCTAGGAAAAATTTTTATCAAGTGGCATGGGGAAACTGAGGCAAACAGCTGAACAAACTAGCCGAGCAATTTACAAGCCACTTACAGAAGGTCGCCTCCCTAGAGATGATATCTAGGCCTCTGCTGTATTTGAGCTCCAGGCTCAGAAAAAGCAGCAAAACCCAGAGTGCCGCACAAGGACCAGCTGCGATGACTTGTGCCAACCAATCAGTAGAGACCATGACCCTGAAAGGAAACACATGGAAAACTCAAGAATATTCTATTGAGATCTCCCCTAAGACCTCCCCTAAACTCCCAGCCTTTAATAACCCTCAAAACAAAGGACCCAGCATGAGCCCTCTCCTTCCTGGGAGCACGCCCATGCCTTACCCCCTCCTCTCTCCTTCCCTCAGAGTGTGCATCACCAAAACTATAAATGACCCCTGTAAACCTGTCTCCAGCCCCACCTTTCTCTGATTTTCTAGTGAACTAAAGGCAGCCTGACCTTGGCCCACTTCTTCCTGATAACTTTTCTAGTGAACGCAAGCTGCCCCACCTAGGTCCACTTCTTCCTGAGAACGTGTCCAGTGAACCCAACCAGCCCCACTTTGTCCCACTTCTTCCTGATAATGTTTCCAGTGAACCCAAGCAGTCACACCTTGGCCAACTTCTTCCTGAGAACGTTTCTAGTGAACCCAAGCAGCCGGCCTTGGCTCTCCTGTTGCTTCATCTATCCTATGTCCTTACTTTGTTTCACTATCCACAACTTTAGTAAACAGTCTCACGATTACCTTGTATTGTGAAATCTTTTCTGCATGCAATCAAGAACCCACACATTACTGGTGGACCCTAGGTTTATCCACTCCAGGGCTGGTCCCTGTCCAGTGACAAAAGTGTCCACTCGGGACTAGAAAGCCTGTGGAAGCAAGTTCTCCCCTTGAGCTTGGATTGTTTTTAGATCCAGCACAGCCACAGGAACTGGCAGCTGCTACTTGTTCAACTTGCTATTTTCCAGCATGTTCCTTGCATCAGACTCCCCGCTGGGCCCTGATGTGGTAGGACCCACGTGTCTGAGCCATTCGACCTGCCCACACCTGCAATCACCCACCTGTGATCACACAAATTCTTCCTCTGAAGCCTGATTTCTCTCCTGGAAAATGAAGTACAGGTTCATAGTAAATGCAGGAACATATGAAGATTTTAATCAGATTTAGTCCAAATGACCAAAAGCACATGTGAACACGAGAATTTTATACTTTTCACTTATGTAGTAAGAAGGATTCATTAACAATGTTGAAAAATCAGTCTCCAAATACTAAAAACCTTCAGACTTAAATCTGGAAATCAGAAGGAAAACTTTTCATTACTTGCCTCAGTCCCCTTCCACCCTGAGGTGTGGCAGGGTGAGGTAGTGGACTCAGGCTTAGGAGTCTAGAGGGGCAAGAGAGGCACCACATGCCCCAACGCTGAGGGAAGAACTCATCAAAGTGGAGCTGTGGTTTGTAACTGGGTCTGGATTTGGGTTGAATGTGAAGAGGAATTTGAAACACTTTTATCAGGAATTACCAACTGATGCACATTTCATATCCCATAAATCAGGCCTGCACAAAGACTCCTGCCTGCTTACAATCAGTGTGCTCAAAGCAGCCTGGAGCAGGAACTTCAGACAACCAAGTGTGGGTCCTGAATTGTATGAGGTGATTGGGTACTTACTAAATATTTTAAGTTCATTGGCATCATCACAGATGCCCCACAACTAGAACTACAGCCTCCCTTTTCCCTTTTCAAAAGGACATTTATAACACACACACACACACACACACACACACACACACACACACACACATCATTTATGCCATGAACTATGGATCACCATAGTTCACCTCATCTGCCAGGTGTCAGTCCAAAAAGCACTTCCTCAGGGCACTCACTCACTCACTCCTGAGGTTATGTCAAGTCTCTTGATACCAACTCTCTTTGGATCTCTTTCATGCACTTTAAAAAAGAGTTCAATACTTACCCCTTTCATGTCTGTCCTCTGCCCTAAACTAAACTGTTTGCCTGGTTGGCAGCAATGCATTCTGCGCCCAGCCAAGGGCCCTGCTAGAGCAAATGCTCTCTGTTTATTGACATCAGCAGCAGCTGTATCCAAGAAGAAGTGGAGATGAACCGGATCCAATTTGATAATAAAGAGTCAGAAAGACCAAATACCAGGAGTAAATCTCATACAAGTGTGCAAGATCATCACACTGTCAACTTCCAAGCATTGCTGAAATATATTAAAGAATATAGAAATAAATTCAGACCTCTTCCATGGTCCTGGATTGGATTTCTCAATATTC